GGTGGGTTCTGGGTGGCGCAGGGAGCTGCCGTGGCCGGGCGGGGGCGGATTGGAGCTACACCTGCCTCGGCTGGCCAGTCCGGGAGAAGCTGCCTAGTTGCGGCGGCCATTTACGGGGCGGACCTGCAGGTCTCAGTGGACACGTCACTTCCGACTGGGTTAGCGTTAGCCTTGACCACCTGGGAGTGAATCCTCCCAGCCGTGGGCTTCGTGCCTCTCGCCCTGTGATCCTGTGCCCCCGGAGTGGGCCCTGCGGTGCGGAAGGGTAGCGCCTCCTCTCCCGCGCTCCTGGCTGCGGGGTCGGACTGACGGAGGCACCTGTTCTGATGTTCCCTCCAGGGCGGTGGCCAGAGGCCCGGCAGTGGCCCGTGTAAGTTGGGATGCTCTTTACAAACAGTGCTCGGCGTTTAGCCTCATCCTGGGAGCCAGAAACTATGTATTTGCAGAAAATATTCAGATGTGCGAGTTATAAAGATTTGTGATCACACGTGCTAAATACAGGCGGTCTACTTTTTCTTTACTGTTCTTTTGCTCACTTTTCTTTTCAGTAGCCAATGATTGAAGAGGATTAAACTTGAGAAAATGACATTTATTAACTCCATCATTGCTATTGGGCCATTAGAAATTGTAGCAGCAGTACTTGTTCTAGTTCACAAAATGCCTCAATTCTAAGGTAGCCTGGCTTTGCAGGGAGAGTGATGAGTGTTGTAATGCTGATTTATGCCGAGGGATGCAAAAACTGAATTATAATGAGATGGGTTTTTTTAATGAGATGAAGATTTATAAACATTTTAAATATTGTTTTTATATCAGGAAAGGAGAGTAGAAGATGGCTTGAAATTAATGAATCGTATAGAAGAAATAGCTATATTAGCAGTACAGGTGGAGAGGTTTCAACTGTTCAGATTTCTTAGAAAAAGGCAATGTACCTAATTCCTCCCCCCCACTCCCTTAATTTTGAAAAATTTCAAACATAGACAGTCTTCAGTTTGGGCTTTTTGTATTTTATACTATTTTCTGTCTTAGTTCAGTAATATTAAGCTACCTCATTCTTTTTCAGCCTGTGTTATTATTTTATTCTGTAGACATAACTTGCTCAACTATTTTATTTAGAGTACACATTTAGATTCTTTCCAAGTCTTACTAAATGAAGGCTATAGTGAACATCCTTGTACATATATCTTTCCCCTCAGTTTTGAGATATAATTGACATACAATGTAGTAGTAGCTTAAGACGTGCAACATAATGATTTGATACATTTGCACAGGTATGTTTAGATTGTCATGCCATCCTATATAATAAAAACCTAATATGCAAATTGTTTGACGGGTGTTTGACTGGGAACTCGACTGCTCGCTATCATGTGTGCTGACCACCAGGGGGTGGCACGGAACATGGCGGGTGTTGGCAACACAGTGCTGGCAACGGGTGGCAATGGAGGTGCTTCCAACCCCCATGGGCCCTGACGAGAGCGGGGCCATGGTGGATGGTGGGGCAAGTGAGTGGGTGGCACCAATCCAAGGCGGGTGAGCAGGGGCCTGATTGCCCCACCAATTGCCCCGCAGATAGCAACCAGCGGCGGCAACGGTGGGTAGGGCTGCTGCCCAGCTCCCAGGCACTCTGAGAGCCTGGCAGGGGGCCCGGCCCTGACCAATCACCCCAAAAACAGTGGCCGGCAGGCCCTGATCACTCAATCAGGGTGGGGCCCCAAGCTGGGATGGGGAGCTAGGGTTGGGTGGTGGCAACCAACCTCCTGCAGCACCCAGACGGGGGCCTGCTACCTGAGGGCAGGGGTGATGGGGATGGAAGTGCAGTGAGAATGAAGGGGGTCTGCCAAGCTCGCTCTCACTCCCCCTCCTACCCTCCCCTGGGACGCCAGGGCTCGCGTGCCAAGGAAGCCCCCATGTTCAGGTGCTGGGCACCTGCGAGGATCCAGCCCTGCACCCATGTGGCCTCTTCCAGGTGAGTGGGCTGCAGCCACTGGAACCACAGGGGCTTGTCGGGTTCCCCATGGGTTGCCACGGGTGAGGGTCTGTGAGGCTGACCAGGAGAGAGTGCGCTGCCTGCCTGGCTTCTGTATGGCACCATTGGGCACCCCAGAGGCCCAAGCTGCACTCTGGCTTACAGTGTCTGGCCACGCTCACCACATCTGTGCATGGAGACTTGGGCACCGTGACTCAGGCAGAAGGGGGTGCGTGAGGGTTGAGGGGCCCAGAGGTCAGCTAGGACCTGCCTTTCCATGCAAGACACTCATGCTTCGATCGCCAGCCAGGCCTAGGTACCGCAGCCATGCATGAATTTCATGCACCGGGCCTCTAGTAAAGTAATAAGATAGATTTCTGGAAGTTGGGCTGCTGGATCAAAAGGCATGGACATTTAAACGTCTAATAGAGTCTTCCCATAAGGTTGAACCTATTTATGCCTGCACCAGCATGTTATGAGATAGTCTGTCCGTACCACAGAGCCAGTGGTGATATTTCAAGTGTAAAAAATTTTGCGAATATTTTTCATTTAACGTTTTTACTGATTGCCTAACTTATGTTGCAGGTACCATACATTTTTCGGCCTTTTATCAGCAGATGGCATTTATTAATTTATTAAATGTTTCTTAGTTTCCTTTTTTAATTTTTGCTGCTGCATAAATAGTGTTACAATACAGATTCTTTGAACATATGTCAATACATATAGTGGATTTCTTACTCTGAGAATGGTTCCTGTGTTGAAGGGTGTTCTATAGCTTTAATTTTAATGGGTATTGGGATGTTGGTTTTTCAGGAGCCTGTTATTTTTCCCACATCTCTGACAGTATCATCTGTGTTGGCCGCCCCCCCAACCAGTAAAGAGATGTCTTAGTCACTTAAATTACATTTCCTCTTAGTAATTTAGAGTATCTTTTTGTTCTTTGTCACTGGGATTTGTTTTTCTGTGCATTTCCAATCCTGCTCTTTGCCTGCTTTTCCTATGGGGTTGTTTGTCTTTTTATCTATTTCTACGTACATGTGTACATGTGACAAGTTGTCCTCATTAAGAAATCCATCCTGATCCTCAGATTCTAATTTACTTTCCTAGGTTCTTGTATAGTATTTTTTATTTTTAAATTTAACTCTTTATCTTTTATTTATTTATTTTTTTAAATAATTTTTATTGCTTGAAGTATTACAAAGAGTATTACATATGTCTCCTCCCCCCCCGCCTTGACATTCCCCCGGCCCCTACCCCCTAGTATCCTGTGTCCATTGGTTATTCTTATATGCATGCATATAAGTCCTTCGGTTGATCTCTTGACCCCCCCACCCCCCGCCCAAACCCTCCCCAGGGTTCCCACTGTAGTTTGACAGTCTGTTCAATGCTGCTCTGTCTCTACACCTGATCATCAGTCTATACTGGTCCCCATTATCTGTCCCAACCTCACTGGAGCCGTCCCGACCTCACCGGAGCCATTCCGACCTCGCTGGGGCTGTTTCAACCTCACCGGGGCCATCTCAACTTCACCAGGGCTGTCCCGACCTCACTGGGGCTGTTTCAACCTTACCGGGGCCGTTTTGACCATTCCGGGGCCGTTTCGACCATTCCGGGGGTATCCTGACCTCACTGGGGCTGTCCCAGCCTCACGGGGCCCTCCTGACCTCGCCGCGGCTGTATCGGCCTCACCGGGGCCATCCTGACCTCACTGGGCTGTTTCAACCCCACTGGGGCCGTCCCGACCTCGTCGGGGCAGTCCCAACCTCACTGGGGCTGTTTCAACCTCACCCAGGCCATCTCGACCGTTCCGGGGCATCCTGACCTCACCGGGGCTGTCCCGGCCTCACCGGGGAAACACTAAGTTTGGCACTCTGTACCCTGTCGGGTGGCTCCCCACCCGACAAAATCTCCAGGCTTTCCTGGTGGCTGAACATCCAGTACGCCTGCTCGGACTTCGCCCTCCACCAAGTGCACAGACTGCCCGTCTGCCGTCCCCCAGCGTCCCATGCGAGACTGGAACCGGTGGGCATGCTTGTGCGCCTGCTGGTACAGCGGTTCCACATCGCCGGCCCAGCTGGGCCTGTCCCCGACCCACCCCGGACCCGACTCCGCCCCTCCGAGTGCGTCCCTCCCAGATGTGAGGAGTTGAAATCTGCAGCCTGCTGGGTTGGGCTCTGTACTTGGTGCCTCTGCACATCCTACTCGGTCTCATTGCTCTTCTTTCTATGCGAGGAGTTGAAATCTGCGGTTTGTTGGGTTGGGCTCTGTACTTGGTGTCTCTGCACATCCTACTCAGTCTCATTGCTCTTCTTTCTATGCGTCCAGTTGTAGAGCTTCCAGTTGGCCAGCTTTCCCATGGTTCCGAATGATAGCTGATTGTCCTATAGTTGGTAGTTTCGATGTTGTTTTGGGAGGCAGCACGCACACCTCTGTACCTTACACCGCCATCTTGGTTCTCCTGGGTCTGCTTCTTGAGTGCGTGTCTCTTATGGGTGCGAGGAGTTGAAGTCTGCAATTTGTTGGGTTATGCTGCAAAAGTGCAGGTGGGTCTCTTTGTGCCACTGGCACAGCTTGGATGGGGATGTAAATTGAGTAGGGCAGGGTCTCAGGGAGTCACCAGGGCAGATCAAATAGCAATGGCGCCTCCACGGCTCCTTGCCTCTCTGGGCC